TTTTTTTTTTTTTTTTTCCACTGATATTCAGTTTCATGTTTCGTTACTGAACGCAGATACTGAGGACACTCGATACCTTACCTCTTTGTCGTTTTTTTTTTTTTTTTTAATTCACTGCATAGCTTTCGTATTACAGCCACAATGAAGTTGGAAACATATATGCATTTACTGGCGATGACATTTTGCATAAACCACGGCGGTTAACAGTCAAGAAATTTCTTTAAGAGCAGTAACGAAAAGGAATTAGTTTTTCGCTTACAGGTTTATTGGTTTTAGTTTTCATTGACAACACCAAATCGGAGCAGCTGTAGATGATGATAACCATTTTTATATGTTTTCAGGTAGTTATTTTGAATGTTGACTAGAATGGTGTATGTGCTTGTTTGGGTAATTTTTAATTACAGTTATTGTAATGATTGATTTTATGGTGGCATAGTGATCGGCGTAAATGCAGTCTAATCTGATGCTGAAATGAAAACAGACTTTTACAGTTTTACATAGGTATCTTTGAAAAAAAAGTTTTCTTTGTTGAATTTTGATCATGACAAAGTTTAATTTACATTTAAAAAAAAAAAAAGGTGAAACTTTGCTTTAGTTTTTTGTGAGTGCACTTTTGTGCATTTTTTTTGTTAATTTGGTGAAAAGTACAAAGAAAAAAAAATGAAAGAGTTTATGGTGTTTAGTGCAGAGTTGTAAATTGTTTGCTGCAAATTTGTTTGAACGGAAAGTTTGCAAGAAATAAACAATGAGAAAGAATTGTGCTGCATATCCATTGCCCAAAGAAGTGCAAAGATTTTGAAAATCTAAGGCCATTGTTACATATGATGAGTAGGTCGGTAAGACTCTTCTTCTTCCTCTATTTTTTTTTTCTATTTTTATTGTTGAGGTAAATATGCATGTTATATATTTTAGCAGTTTTTCTAAGCCTTGGGAAAGAAAAAAACAGGTAAGTAGAAAATTGGAAAGAAGAAAAAGTTTGTCAGACTGAACGATGGGCAGTCTATCTGACGTATGTATAGTTAAAATTTTGCTGCAATTACGCACACATCATTGGTTTGATGAAAAAAGTCGTTCTATGATTTGGTTGTTTCAAATTATTGTTGACAACAATTCTTTATCAAAAAATTGAATAGTTTGTAATTAAAAAAAATCTTCTGAAAGAATCAAAAAAAGTTCAGTTGATTTATTACTTTCAAGTAATAAAAATAATTTCGTTCTTTTTTATTTGTCTCATTCCAGCGATACGACAATCAAATGATTTTGAGACATATCAATCTAAACTTAGTAGTGGAAGCTTTGAAGTGTTTCTGTTTAACTGCGTGCAAATATTTTATATTGCTTCTTATGAGTAAAAACAGTAAATGAAAGGGGAATGGATGGGACACAGACACAGCAGTTAATTATTTGATTGGCTAAAAGCTCATTGCTCTGTCGAGCATCGTTTGAAGCGTTATCTGTTGAAGAACTTCATGGAGAGTAATGTTGGAGCATCACCTCAACAACTTTGTTTCAGCAGTTGAAGAAGATGCAAGCTAATCGCTGCCGAAGTTATAGCTGCAGAAAATTTCTCAAAAATTGCTTTTCTATTTCTTCAGCTTATTTCTTAGTACCTTTATACTTTCTCAGAATTGCTCGTTACCATCTCCAACTAGCGAGTTTGTAAATATCACTTCGTACAACGTTTAGGACTAGTGGAAAATTTTGTCCGGTTGATGCTGCAGTGGTGGAACCTTCATGAAATAACTGCTGCAAAATTTGTGTCGTAAAACTGGGATTCATGTTGTCGACTTTTATTATGATGCTACGGTCATTACTTGGGTATCTCACAGGGAATGAAAGTTGAGAGTCGCTGGCAAAGAGACAGTGCAAAAATACAGGGAGCTTGTGAGAGGTTTTTGTTCATGTTTTCTTGCCGATTAAAACTGCTAGCGAAAACTTTTCCGAAATGCAGCCGTTTTCAGAATTTAACTGCTTGGAGTTGTCGCATAACTTATTTGACGCTATTTTCTATTTTTGAAGCGTGCGATTTTTCGTACTTGCTAGTGCTATTATTTGGCTTTTTAATATGCTTCTGCCCTACATTACTCAGGCAACTGTATCTTGCGCTACACCTTATTATTTTAATAACTAGTATAGATCAAATCTCATTGAAGACTTCGTTAACGACGTCTTCGGTGTCTCATTCACAGCGGCGAATCGAAAATTTGGTGCCTTGTGTAGTGCAGTTCTGATTTGAACGGAAAACTGTGCTGTGAATAAATTAGAGTGGCAGGATAGTGCTTTTCTTATTTATCTGATCTTAACTGTCATTCATAAAAAAGCTTTGAGAAAGCTGTTAAATAGTGTCTTAGTGACGCTTGAAATTACTGTAAGTTTGCGATGTGCCGAAGTTGTTTTGATGGAGCCACTTTGGCTGTTTGCTTTAAATTTCACGCGTATTTGTTTAAAATGTGAGAAAACTGACGCTCAAACATTCTGTCTGAACACCCTGAAACAGCTATAGTCATGTTTACCTTGTGTCATTCTCATTTTCCATTATTTAGCACACGCGCTCTCATCCAGTTTTGGTGCAAATGGAATCATTTCTGTTGCTTATTCTCGTTTTCTCACCGAAGTCGTCATGAAAGCTATTAAACTTCCATCAGTTTTTTTTTTTTATTTTCAAGAGGAACAACTCTAAAAGCATGAGCCATCGGCGGTATAATCCGTTGCTTGATGAATGGGTTCTCGTTGCGGCAAATCGGGTCAATCGGCCATGGCAGGGAGCTAAAGAGACGAAAGCTGTAGCAGGACCGTCTTCCACGGCCGAAGAGACCTTGAACCCGTTAGCTCCGGGTGGCACACGACCTAATGGAGTTGTTACACCTCAATACACAGAAACATATGTTTTCCAGAACGATTTCCCCTCGCTAACTGACACAAGGAGTAGTGTAGAAGAAAGTGCTGAAGAAACTGACAAAGATGGTTTATTTAAAATGCAGAAGGCCAGTGGAACTTGTAGGTGCGAAATTTAATTTTTTGCTCTTGTTTTATGTGAATTTTACTTTCGATTAAGTAACTTCATTTCCTAAAAATTGTGAAAATCACGTAATAAAACTTTAAAACTGGTTAAGCGCAAAAGGTACAGTTTTCAAAACTGATTTTCACCTGTATTTACGCGACACAATCAAAGCATTTACATTTTCCATCATAGGGTAATATGTTATCACCCCGATGGGAACCTTACGATGGCGTTGATGACTTGTGATCAGATAGAGAAAGTTATTGATGTATGGATCAAACAGTTGACTGACTTGAAGGATAAGTACGAGTGGATACAAGTAATAGTTTACAAGAATGAGTGTTGATAAATCTTATTTGTGTACTCTTTTGCTTTGCTGCCTATGCGGTGCGTGTGCCCTTAAAACTGGGCGGAATTGTTGACGGAGAATTTGTGCACTGCTTCTGAAAGCGTTGCGGTCCATTGCTGCAGTAGATTTCCAGGTGGCAGTATCTTAAAATGTCTTGTACCCTGAATAGTTTGAAGCCACGAGGTAAAGCTTTTCATTCATGGGGAAGAGTTCAGATGTTCTTAAGTAAGATAACAGAACGCAAAATGCATGAGTTAGGAATCTGTATGATGCTATGCTAGCAATAGACACTTTCGGTTTTTGTCGTATTTTAACGGAGAATTGGAGGGGAAGTTCAAAACTACACGAAGTTTTTTGGTCTTTTGTCCCACATGCGTTCTTCCGTAAATCTGGTTTATGGTCTTGAAATGCACTGCTTTCTTATGTACTAATGACCCATTGGTGATGCAACTGTAAATTTTTCGCTAGAGCTGCACACCCGTTTTGGTGACCAAAAAGCCACCTTTTTTTAAGAAAATGCCCGTGAGGGAGCCAAAGTGAAAAAGTGCCATTCATCTGTGTTTAACTGCCGCTTAACTAATGAACTTACTTTGATAATTAGATGTTTGAAAACAAAGGAGCAATTATGGGATGCTCAAATCCTCATCCCCACGGACAGCTTTGGGCGACAAACTATTTGCCAAATGAGCCGCTGAAAAAATACATAAATCAAAAGGTTCTTTTGAGTTTCTGTGTATCACTTTTTACTAAAATGGTAGTTCACTGTTTAGTTTGGCAATTGTTGATAGCCAGTATTAAACAAGTTGCCAAATTTTTAGAAGTATGCGGATCAAACAAGGAGTGTCCTGTTAATGGATTATGCAAAACAGGAAGTTTTAAAGAAGGAGAGGATCGTGTGTGAAAGTGAGCATTGGGTGGTACTTGTACCATTCTGGGCTTTCTGGCCGTTTGAAACGATGATTTTGCCGATAAAGCGACATATAAAGTCGCTCCTAGACATCAACAGCGTTAGTTCTTTTCGCCAACTGAACGTACTAAAGAAATTATTAAGAAAAAATTGGTTTTTTAGGAGGAGAAGAAGGACTTGGCATCGATAATGAAACAAATACTTGTTAAATATGATAATGTTTTTAAGGTACGACTAACTTAAAGTTCCACCTCTGCAATTTTCTATTTTTTCGACTCTACACACACATTTGCCAGTATTCGTTTTTAATTTCTATCGCAGACTTACTGCGCCTTATTTTTTGACATCTATTATTCGAAAATGAAATCTTAATTCTGAAATAGGACGGGAAATAAGACTTTTGCTTAATTCGGAAAGTAATGAATAAAATTGGGTGGGTTAAACAATTACTCACTATTGGTGAGTTGATGCAGAATATAGTAAAGTTTACGGTGCAGTGGACAACTTTTCTGAACGCACTCACCACTTCAAATTTGTAATAATTAAATGTGGAAATTAAGAATCTCCTTCTGAATTATTCGGTGTTTTTAATAACTCGATCTAAGTTGTGACGTTTCATCAGTGCTCTCCAGCTTTTGCGTAGGTGGCATGCGTCTAATTATGTCTTTCTGACTTTCAAAAACTTCGACCTGATTTTTCCTGTAGTAATGATAGCACTAGAAGCGAAGTGTGAAGGGACGGGTCAGACTAATAATTTTTGTTGTCTTTGAGATGCTGTGAAGATCTAAGTTGGTGCAGTCAATCAAGACTTACTGGATAGTACGGTAGACTGGTTTGTAGCCATTGAGAATTGAAAAGCAGGCGTTTCAAAATTTACGAGTTCTAAACTCGTTTAAAATAATCACCACTGTATGAAACAAGATGTTGTTGACCTATTGCTATTGACCAGCATCACCATAAACTAGTTAAACCATTTTTCACGGCAGAAGTCTCATGAAAGAAAATAGTTCAAAGAGTAGTAGTAGTTAGGATTTTTTTTTTGTTGAGAAGTCTAACATAGATCCTAACTACCAACTCGTTCACCTTAAAGAAACTGTAAATTCTCTAACCGACTGCAGCTATTTTTCAGTGTTCTTTCCCATACAGCATGGGATGGTACAACGCGCCAACAGGGAAATATCTTAACGAGGATACCGACTTTTGGACATTACATGCAGTTTTCTACCCCCCTTTACTGCGTTCTGCTACTGTAAAAAAGTTTGTCGCCGGTTACGAGTTGTTGTGTGAACCACAAAGAGACATAACGCCAGAAATGGTAAATATTTTCCAGCATGCTCGTGGAATATGTCCGACAAAGAGATTTCAAGCAATGTATTTATTGCACATAGAAAATACTCAACAATATATGACAAAGGAGGGTTTCAGGCTGCAAAAACACTTCATGACCAGAGCACTGTTCATTACTCGGTGGATTCATCCAGTTGAATCCCGATATCTTCCTGAAATAAACTGTTTTAAGGTCTCTGAAGAACACTTCTTGTATATCGGTTTTTGTAAGGTACTGTATTTGGAAATTTTTAATTTAGTTTGCAACAACTAATGATCAGTAATCAGGATTAAAAATTCTTACAAGAATCTTCTTTTTAGAAATGCAGCAGTTTTCGTAAATCGCATCGACAATTTCCAACGTGATCCGCCTTCTCTTGTTCCACTCTCTCTTGTAATCTGCTTCTAGTTTATTAATTCTATCCTTTTTCTCAGCATTCGCCTTATTCTCATGCAACATCATTTCGACAATGACCTTCTCTACGTTTCCGACCTGTAAAAAATTGGATGGTTGAAGCGAGGCCGGAAAACCAGTACCTGATCCATTTTGAAAGCACCAAGACGTGACTTAATCAAATTGTCTGTTCCGGAATAATTGAAAAATTTGAAATGGCTTCAGAGGTTCCACGTCGGGAGGCATAATTTCTTCAGTCAACATTCTCGGAATCTTACTAATTCTGTCAATTAGTAGTCTGGCAAATTCAAAATGTCGAAGAGGGGACTTAGAAAATTTAGTTTATAGTTAAATTATGTTTAGTCAGAGTTTGAGGAGTTACTGGATTTTACCGTAGCGCTGGCCGTTTTTGGGAAATAACTTTACGAAGATTTTTGAATTTCAAAATTTTTTGACTTATTGGGCAGCCTTCACCTTCTGCATTGAACAAGTGTTCAACCATGCATTTCCATAGAAGGCTTAAAAGAGAAAAGATTATTGCACGTGCTAAGAAGAAAGGGCCGTTAAACGTCCAGAAAATAATATGCAAAATCTAACACTTCATAAAACATTAAAAAGTTCGTCATGGTCATCCGATGAAGCCATGAGGTATATGATAACAGGTGGTGCAATGTGGTGAAGGTTAAGCTTAAATGCGTCATTTTGCTGTAACAAAGTTCGGAGGTTTACCACAGATAAACGACACTGTCTACAAATTTGCGTGAAGTGATCAGCTATTAGACAATGAAGTAAATGGGTACTTTTGCATTAGTTTTTTTTTAAAACAAGACCAGACATCACTGATCGGCAAAATTCAAAATAATTTCGACGTATCAACTCAGAGCTTGTGGTTTTGCTTGAAATTCCCAGCTTACACTGTTGTACACTTTAATTTTCAACTAAAATTTCCCAAAGTACAACCTCTGCTTCTAGGCCACCAATTGCATCAGGCAAGTCAGCAGTAGCTAGTGTTTCTTCAAGTCCTTTTAGTTCTGAAAATCTGCAATATATATTAGTTTCTTACCAACGACGAAAAATATAAAAAAAACCAATTTTCTGCAAGAGCAATACACTGAAAACAAGGAACGAGCAAAGCCAAAGTTTAATTTGATTAATGCAACCGACGGACCGTTCTGTAGTACTTTTATTTCGTTATTTAGGGAATCCAACTCGGCACTTCTTTCTGCGATTATTTTGTCCATCTCAGTCAGATCTTCTTCGTTGCACTTCTCCATTCTTCTCTAATTAAGGCAGAAAACTTATAAATGAGAAGCTCATTGTTTGAGAGATGATTTAAGACTATTCAACAAAGAAAACAAAGTGCGGTTCAGAAAAATGAACACTAAAAGCTGCCCCAAAAATTACTTGATTGACGAAATATATCTTTTGCTTCGAAACAGTTTTTTCACAGAGCAGACCATTCCCCACTCCAGTATCCAAGCATTTAGAAACCATCTAAATAATATGCTTATTTGATGGAAATTAAAGATGATTAATTTTGTTGAAATGCTGTCTCAAATAACGTGAGAAGACAGAAGGAAGCTAATAAAATAAACTGCGAACAGTAAAACTCACTGTTTTGCCAAATTCTTTACGAAGGTTGTTGAATACATCGTTGGCACTAAAAGGACGGTTCTCGCGAATCATGTAATCAATTATAACTTCGCTGGCTGAACACAGCTGTTTTAAGCATTATATGAATAACAACAAAAATGAAGAGAAAAAAATTGTTGAATTTGTAAAAATAGTTGACTCTTTATTAATAGTTTTATTTCCTCCTTAGTGATTATTACCTTCCTCCTCCTGAGCAGTTTTACTCATAGCTTACTGTAATCATTAACGGGTCTGTCTGTCGTTCAAAACAATACTGGAAAAAGAATTGAAATTTGTGTAAGATGTAATAAAATCAGAAAAATAACAAAATTAAAGAGTCAAAACCTCACGTTCTCAAAGACTTGAAAACTGAAAAAGTTTGCTCATTTTCAGTAGTAAGATTTATTTTCT